AGTACGAGTTACAGATCTGTTGTTCACATGGCTGCCATGAGTTGTGGCACCTCAGAATTATGAATTGGATTCCACTCAACTCTAACTGGTTTTGTATTTCTTCCCTAGAGTCTAAATGTAGGTTAAGATCTGGACCCTGTTTATCTATATAGCTCCTGTTTCCTTCCACAGAACGGAATGGGTTCCGAGTTGTTGTTAAGTGCCGTCGAGTCGCATATGACTCATAGCAACCCTATGTACAACAGCCCTAAACTCTGCTCTGTCCTGTGCCAATCTCATTGTCTCCAACACACTCATCCCGATTACCCAATCACCGAATTAATCCATCTTCTAGAGGGCTTTTCCCTCCTGTGCCTGCCCTCCATCCTCCCAAGCATGTTGTCTTTCTCCAAGGACCGGTCTCTCCTTACAACATGACCAAAGTATGCCAGACAAAGCCTCAGAATCCTTGCCTCCAAGGGGCAGCCTGGTTTAACCCTCTCCAGGATTAATATGTTTGTTTTCTTAGCAGTTCATGGTACCCTCAAAACTCTTCTCCAACACCAAAGCTCAAAGGCATCAATTCTTCTTCTATCCTCCTTAGTCACTGTCGAACTCTCTGATGCATAACATGTGATTGCAAAGACCATGGCCTGTATCAGACACAACCTAGTCTCGAGAGAGACACCGTTGCTCTTGAGTACTTTAGAGAGGTCCCTAACAGCAGACTTCCCTATCGCAATATATCTTTTAATTTCCTGGCTGCTGGTGTCAAGAGTGTTGATCGTGGAGCCAAGCAGACTAAAGCCGTGAACAATCTCTATCTCTTCACCATCCATCCTGATGCTGTCAATTGATCCAGTGGTGAGAATCTTTGTCTTCTTAACATTGAGCCTCAATCCATATTGAAGGCTGCAGTCCTTGACCCTCTGAAGCAAGCACTTCAGGTCCTCCTCAGTTTCAGCAAACAGGGTTGTGTCATCTGCATAACGCAGACTGTTGATAGATCTTCCACCAATCCTGATGCCGCATTTCTCCTCATAGAGCCCAGCCTCCTGGATGATCTGTTCTGCATACAGGTTGAGAAGGTATGGAGATAGGAGACATCCCTGGTGTACGCCCCTCCCAATTTTGAGCCAGGCGGTGTTTCCTTGCTCTGTTCTGAGGACTGCCTTTTGATTCAAGTATAGGTTTCGCATTAGCAAGATCAAGTGTTCTGGGATTCCCAGTCTTCTCAGAGTCAGCCACAGTTATGGTCCACACAGTCAAACACCTTTGCATAATCAATGAAGCACAGATAGACATTTCTCTGGTACTCCCTGCTTTCAGCCAAGATCCATCTATCATTAGCTACAATATCCCTAGTACCACAACCCCTTCTAAACCCAGCCTGGACTTCTGGCAGTTCTCTGCTGATGTGCTGTTCCAGTCGTTTTTGGATAATCTTCAGTAGAATTTTGCTTGTATGTGAAATCAATACTACTGTTCTATAATTTCCACACTGTGTTGGGTCACCCTCCTTTGGGATGGGAACAAATATAGATCTCTTCCAGTCAGTTGGCCAAGTGGTTGTTCTCCAGCTTTCTTGACACAACTTAGTGTCCAGGGCAGCATCTGTTAACTGAAATATGTCAATTGGTATGCCATCTATTCCTGGGGCCTTATTTTTTGCTATTTCCTTCAAAGAAGCTTGAACTTCTTCCTTCATCACCATAGGCTCTTGCTCATATCTTGAACTCTTCCTTGTGCTTTGGTTTCTCTGCACTCCAAGTATCTTATGCAAATAAATGATTTCTACATCATACCCAAATTCTCTGACGTTATTAATGTCTAGAACTTACCATGTTCTTCTTTTCCCCCCTTTACTAGATGATTGTTTTCTCAGCCATAAATACAGCAAGTTAAGGGTTGGGCTCTCTTTGAGAACTATGCCTGTGTTGTGAACAGAGGGCTCAGGTGGCTTAGCGGTAAGAAGCTGTGCTGCCAAGCCAAAGGCAAGTGGTTCAAGTTCATCAGCTGCTTCATGGGTGAAAGACTGGCAATCGACTCTTGTACAATTTACTGCCTCTGAAAATCCACTGGAAGGGCCAGCTTTGCGTTGATTCTGACATGATTGGCACAAAACATGTGAAAATAAGGGTGCTTAGTTTTAAAACAAATACATAATTTTAATTGGTAGTAAATGTTTTTATATTACTCTGATTTATTTACAATGTTTGAATACATTTTCCAAAAGATCCTTCCCATTTCCTTTACCCCACCCAATGAATTGTACAGCCCTATGAGTAACACCTTAACCACCCCCTCCCCCAATCACCTCTCTATTTCTACCGTCTCCTCTGCCTTGGATCCTATTCTTTCTACACTAATGGTTTTATATAGTATTTGTTCTAGTGGGACTTAGTTCACTCAGTATAATGCTCTCCAGTCCCTCCCAAGTTAGGTAGTAATTTACAAAAACATTGTTTCTGTGTGCTGCATAGTATTCCATTTTATGAATGTACCACCATTTCCCAATCCATCTGTTTGTGGTTGGATATTTGGGCTGATTCCATTTTCTTATGATGGTGAGTGGTGCTTCTATGAGCATTGGTGTACACGTTTCCATTTGAGCCTCAGTTCTCATTTTCTTGGGGTATATCCTAAGGAATGGAATAGCAGGGTCATACAGAATTTCTATGGTCAGCTTTTTGTAGAGGTGCCAGACTGCCTTCCAGAGTGGTTGTAACTTTGTACAATTCCACCAACAATGTAAGTTCCCACCTCACCACATCCTCCCCAACATTTATTACTTGCTGTCCTGTTAAACTCTGCCACTGCTACTGGAAATGGTATCCCATTGTGGTTTTGATTTACATCTCTTTATTGCCAGTGATTTGGAGCATTTCTTCGTTATGTCTGTTGGGCATTTGAATATCTTCCTCTGAAAATTCTTTCCATGTCTTTTGTCCATTTTTATAATTGCATTATCAGACTTTTTGTGGAGGCCCAGGAGTATTCTATAAACTTTCTCATGAGACTCTTGAGATAGTAATGTTTGTAGGTCAGTAGGCTTGCTTTGTACCCTTTTGGAAAGTTTTTGATGAACACAAGGATTCAATCATTAGAAGGTTCCATTAATCAGTTTTATCCTCTTCAGTTTGTACATTTCTGGATGTATTTGGCAGTCTCTTATACTGTAGAATGGAGCTACTAAGTTTGATCCCAGTTTGTCTCTTATGAACTCAATGGTTTTGGGCTTTACTCCCAAATCTCTTACCCATCTTGAGGTAATTTTTGTGTATGGTGTGAGATGTGGATCCTGTTTCAGCTTTCTGCACACAGCAGTCCAGTTTTGTTAGCACCATTTGTTGAAGATGCAAATATGCTTTTTAAAGAATATTGCGTATAACTATTTCAATATTGGCAAGTAAAATATTCATGATTCTAGTTAAATGAAATATACAGAACAGGCAAGTACACAGAGATGAAAGTTTATTAGTGGTTACTAGATTTGGGTGGAAAAAAGAGGAAAAGGAAGATAAAATGTTAAGGGCAATTTTAAAAAGTTATTTCAGTAACATTTTTTCCTTATTCAGTTTCCCCCCTGACCCATGTTACTGGTATGATACTTCCTTAAAAGTTTACTCTCAAATTCATACTAAATCTCACTTTTTGCTCCATTTGCTTAAAACAAGCCAACCCTACAAACTTTAAAAGGACTATACTGGTAATGAATTACACTGCCAATGCAGAGGTGCACTATTCAAACCCACCAACTACCATGTAGAATAAAGATGGACATTTTCCTCCTGTGAGCTTTACTGCCTCTGAAAACTCACCAAAGGGTCTGAGTCAATGGTAAACAACATTCTTAGTTAAGATCTCTACTGGCACTGGATGTTACCTGCTGTACTGCCTGGTGGCAGCTGGCAGTTCATATTTACCAGCTTCTCTGCAAGAGAAAATAAGACAAGCTTGCTATACTGATTTACAGTCTTGGGAACTCGATGGAGGGTCACTTAGAATGAACTCGATGACACTGAAGTATTCTTCTGTTGGACTTGGTGTTCCATTTCATTAATCAAAGATAGTGTTTACATTGTATCTTTACTGTCTGGCTTGTATTTGACTGAATTTGGTGTGAACAAGTTAAACAACCACCACAACCAAAAAAAGCAGCTCTTATAATATTGTACTGTTAGTGAGTTAGATATATCTGACCCAGAAGGCTGCATATGATATAGTGCTAAGAAAAAAGCAAGCTGCAGTGTGACATTGTTAGAACGATAATATTAAGAAAAAAATCCTCTCCTCAATAAGTATAAGTATAGACTTTAAAATAATGAAGTAAAAAAAAATAATGAAGTCAAAGGTGTACAAAACCAAAAATACACACGAGACTGTTAACTCTGGATATATATGGTGTCAGTGAGAAGGGTAGAAGGTTGAAAGGAGAACAGAAAATTGGTGTTAGAAGATTAAATTATATTTTCTTCACACACCTTGCACTGTTTCACCTTTGAAATACTTTTTTAAGAGGTTTTAATAAAGTGAATTTAAAACTATAACCTGAATAAACATAAGTTTAAAATAAATAACCTACTAGTTGAGATTTGAACTTAGGAATGTAAAGTAGGAATACTATACTGTCTTTAAGTAAAAAGATACAGCACATGAAGCCAAAGTGTATTTATCTTAGAGAAGTAATAAATAATTCATAAAGAAAGTTAATATGAAGAAGAGTTTCCACCTGAAACACCTCAAGATTCTTCTATGGACAAGAGGGTACAATTATTACACTTTAAAAAATATAGTTGCAGTTTACAAAAGAAAAAAAAAAGCACAAAATGGCTTTAAAATACAATAAAGTTTTATACTTATTTTAATTACAAAAAATACTATAATGTCATGGAAGGAAACCAGTATTTACCTGAAGAGACATCAGTAAAGCCTCTAGATTTATCTGTTTTATAAATATAATTAAGGCAATAGGAATATAAAATATTATAAAACTGACTTTCTTCTTGAAAAACACTGATTCATAAACTTTTATTTAGAAAGAAATTTGAATTAGGTGCTCGAGAAACTCCAAGTACTTCTGGGTAAGGCTGAAGACCCATTTGCTTGTTATCTTTCAACTTTAGTACAATAACTTTAGCAAATTCTTCTCCTTGTATGTCAGTGGTGTCTAGTAATTGTCTGACTTTTGAGGTCCTTGTAGGTTTTGTACTAATCAATTCATAGTCTTCCTTCATAATCAAATCCCTGGACAGAAGGGCATCCAGTGACTGGTTAAGGCAGGCTTCAGTCATTTGGCTGACAATATCTTCCCTTTTACTCTGGATCCACTGATGGGCTATACCAGGTGACAGGCGTTCTGCACAAAGGGAAGGGGTTAAACAATTAGAAAGGTCAAGGAATACACATAGCAATGAATGAAAATGAAACAAGACATAAAATCAAATTTGCCTATAATCCTGCTGGTACAGAAGAAGAGTACATTTGAGAACCCTGTTAATTTTAGCAAAACAGTTTGAGGTTTAGATTTTCTTTTCAGTTTTCCTCACTCCCCAGAATGATTGCTTTATTGTCTTTGGTTTTATCTAAAATATAAAGGATACTTGTATGGTTGTTTGAAAACCAAGACAAAACTCGACCCATATATCCCATCCTAAAGTCCCAAAACTTTATTTTTAGCAGCTGAGTACATAACATCTTGCCTTTATACACACCAGGATTTGTATCTTTTGGGATTTGAAGTATGTTCCCACTGAAGAACATATGTATTTACCATTATGAGGAAATAAGCAAAAGTAAAGCTTATCATATGGCTGTTAAATATATATTTGGGAATCAATGTTATCAATGACAAAGCATCTCATAGTAATATTTACCTGAATTCCCCACAGTTGAGAGTAGATTTATTACTGCTGAAGGGCTTGGGGTGCACTTGTGATCACACAATTGAGTCTGAGGAACTATAGAAATGTTATTTTCCCAACTGTGATTTATAGGTTGATGATGCAGCATTGATGGGTAATCCTGATTTTGTTCTATAAAACACAACATCTTCATTAAGGGACTATGCTTAATATTCTGTAGATACTCCTGTGAGCTAAAATATTAACATCTAGGTCATACATGTTGGGTACTCATGAATCATGAATCAATCAACCAATTATTGATCCTCTGGAGGGTTTTTAGAGGCAGTTAATACACGGGAAGAGCTTCCCCATCCTTCTCCGGAAGAGCAGTGGTGGCCATGAACCACGTGACTGCGGGATTGCAATGCAGCTTCTTGCCACTAGCACTGCTATTAAAGCTTATTTAGAGATCTAATTCTCAAAATAAATATTTTTAGAGCAAAAAGGCTTTCTACCAACTATTTTTCTATCTTTCTGTCTGTTCTACATAAACTGTAAATATTGTTTTTTTTTTTTGTTCTTCACACAGATCTAGATTTTTTCATCTGTCTTCTTCCTCTTGCACTGTTCTCTTTAAATCTCTATGTAACATGTGTTTTTCTGCACTCCCTTCTGGCATTTCTATTCATGTTCAAATTATGTTTACTTGCCATTTCATCTCATAAAATTTCCCATTTTTTCTGAACCTTATTCTCAGATTTCCAACACTCCAGTGCAGACCATTCTGCTAGCACTTCAAATTAAAAAAAATCCCTATTAATTTTAAGCCTGAAATCAGTTTTTATGCTTGTATTTTGAGGATAATAAATATATTTCATTTTCTTTCTTCACTTCTCTTTTACCCCTCCTACAAGTGAAAAGTCATAACGTTTATCAGCGAATCTTCAAAAACACATCTCTTTCACATCCCACCCCACTAACAGAGAGATTCTGGAGAGAACACTGATAAAGTTTATAACTTTAATAATCTTTGCACACTCTTACTCATATTTCATTTTTTAAAACCTACAACTTCAGTATCTCAGTTGATCTCTTCACCTCTTATTTCTTTTCCTTGCCAAAATGTTTTATACATTCCAGTCAAGTTGACTTTTCTGGAAGCAAAACATTCTTATCAGACTGTGGAAAAGCGTTTGGTAAGGACATGTCAGATAAGGGACTTACATCTAGAATTTATAAAATACTTGAGCACCACAACAGGATAAAGGTAAATAATCCAATCAAAAAATTGGCACCGGATATGAACAGACACTTCACCAAAGAAGACATTCACATGGCTATGAAGAAATGTTCAAAATCCCTAGCTCTAAGAGAGATGCAAATCAAGACAACTATGAGGTGGTATCATCTCATCTCAGTAAGACTAGCAAAATTTAACAGAACAGCAAGCAACAAATGCGAGGTTGTGGAGAAACTGGAACCCTTATTCACTGTTGGTGGAAGTGTAAAATGGTACAACCACTGTGTAAAGCTGTGTGGCGCTTTCTCAAAAAGTTGCAAATAGAGATACCATTTGACTCAGCAATTCCACTATTGGGAATATACCGTTAAAATACCGTAACTGACATCCAAGCAGATATATGCACACCCATGTTTATCGTGGCTTTGTTCACAATAGCAAGGAGTTGAAAACAACCCAAGTGCCCATGAACAAATGAATGGATAGAGAAGCTGTGGTATATTCACACAATGGAATACTATGCTGCAATGAAAAACAAGGAACTCATGCAATATTATTCAAAATGGGTGACCCTGGAGGACATTATGCTGAGTGAAATATCTGTCACAAAAGGACAAATACTGTATGGTGCCACTGTTGTAGAATGAGACTGACATCAGGGTGGGGGGGGGGAAGACTGAGAAAAATTGGATAAATTATGTTTACTGCATTGAAGCCGATGAGGGAGAGAACAGTTTAAAAGCAATATATTTTAGGGCATTATGATTATCATAAAAGTTCTGAATGAGGGTTGCAGAGTGGAGTATATACTCTGGGTGGTGTTGGGGTAGTGTGGGGGGATTGTATACCAATGAAGGAGTTTTTCAAGGAGAAGAGCAAACTGGGGGTGGGGGTGGGGTGGGTGGGGAGAAAAGTGCAACAATGAATGAATGGAAAGCGAAAAATCTCTATAAATGTTCATTGAAAAAAAACCAAGCAAAAAAAATTGCAATAGTTTTCTATTCATGTAAAGAAAAAAAAGCTCAAACAGCACTGTTGAAATCCACAATGATTCTCCACCTATCTTTCTAACTTTCTTTTCCTTTCACCTTCTTTGATTAATCCTTTACTTAGCTAAACCAAATTGTTCACTGTCTCTGTGCAGTCTCTATACTGTTCTCTTTCTCTTATACAGAAGTCTAACTTTAAGCTAGAAGTAATTTCTTCATGATGATAACATGTAGTGTGATGACTTAAGAATGTGTACCAGAAGACCTTGCTTTAAGTTTTGGATATGCCAGCTATGAGCTATGCGACCTAGTCTTCTATGTAAAATAAGGGTTATTTACTTCACAAGTAGTTATGAAAGTACTTCATAAAGGGTACTATTCCTCTGTAATATTATAGCTCTACACTCTTGTAACACATCACTTCCTATCTTGCACTATGGCTTACCAAAAATATATTTCTCCTTGCTGACACAATCCTGAATCTTCCCATAGTATCTAACACAGTGTCTTTAATGTTTAATGTACTGCATATCCTGCTACTCTGACCCCATGTTCAGACCCTATTCACATTTTAAAAGTCAGTACTCAATAGATAAGAAAGGCATGCTCCATGTCTTCTGGTCAAGAATATGATGTGTAAAGAGATGGGAGAGGAAAACTTGCGAATAAACACTAATTTGAAAATATACTTACTAGATAAAAAGTCATTTTCTCGAGGTGTTGACAGGAAGCTTGAGGTTTCAGGAAAATCACTACTTTTATGCAGTTGGGAGGATCCACATGATTCCTGAAGTAAATATAAAGGATTTAGGTTGACAGATACATGTATTTCGACTTTAATTTCCAGAGTTCTTACTTTTGATGTAGTAGAAACAAAATCAAATGTATCATAAATTCTAAAACTGAAGAAACATGTACATAATCAACAAAGGTTGATTTATTATCTTAACCAACTGAAATGGGGGAAATGTGACTATCATGAAGTACATTAAAATAGTTTTTTCTTCATTTTTTTTTCAAAAGTTCTGTTTAGTGAATGAGGAATTTTGAAATCTGCAACACCGGTTACTTAGTGGTTTATAGAAAACTCTTGTTTCTCTGGAAGGGTAAGTAGGAAACTATGGAAAAAGTAATAGAGAACCTGCATTCCTGGCTCTGTTACAGAATCATCAGCTAAGTATAGACAAGGAATTGAAACTTTCTCTGGTTCTCTGTAACATCTATCTAAGCACTTGCCTGGGCTAAAGGAGTAAATGTATTCATGTATACAGAGGTGACTTTAAAAATTTGCATTATGAATAGATTCTTCTGAATCTGCAAAGTGAACATATCTTCCAGTTGTAAGAAATGACCATTATGCAGTAAAGGGAGTGCTGAAGGCACAGTCCATACTGAGTGGCATTGCTAACCCAAGTCTCTTCCCATTACAAATGGGATCCTCAGAGACATGGTGGATGGCTCTGAGTCAGAAATGACTCACAACCAGTGAGTGAGTGAATATGACGTCTACATACATGTAAAGAAATACTTCCTCTCACTCACAAATGGTTGTTGAGTTCTCCTTCCCCTCTACTACGTACTGTAAGAGATAAGAATGAGATAGGTTTAGCTGGCCAAAGAGGCATAAATACAATGCAAGTTTAATCTCTGATATGCTATGGAATATAGCAGTAATTGTGAGGATGGTGCAGGGCTGGGCAGGGTTTTGTTCTGTAGGTCAAAGGGTTGCTCTGAGTTGGAGCTCACTCCACAGCATTTACCTACACTAACCCTGGAACACATGAACAAAACAATGACAGACAGAAGGCTATACAAACAAAACAACCAAGGGAAAACTAGGAAATGTTGTTTCAAGTTGGAGATTGCCAAAGCCTACATGCATCTAAAAGCTCTCTGGAATTATTTTCTCATATATAATAAAAGTTAGAAAAAATAATTTGTCATATTCTCAAATTTGGAACTTATCATGTAATTTTTTTCTTTTACCTCTTGTGGGCCATGATTTACAGGTATGTTCAGAGATAAATCCATTTTCTTCTTGTCACTGAAGAGAATAGTACTTGCATTACTCTGTAAGTGAAGGAAATAACATACATATATGTCTGTGTCTACTGATGTAGACACACATACAATTTAATGGGAAGTGATTAGAAATTGTAGAAGTAAAATACATTCTACTTTACTATATTTTATGTTTTAATAAAATCAATGGAAAAGAAACAAATCAATTCAGGATATAATACATAACTTAAAGGCAGAGACAATGCAAAACAGGGGGAAAAACTTCAGGGACACAGATTTTTAATTCTGCCTCATATTATTTGTTACCTTGAGCAAATTATTGATCTCTCAGTCTCAGGATTTCATCTGTAAAAATGGAAAAATATCTACTTGCAGAACTGTTCTAGGGATTAAATGCAATAATGTATATAAAGTGTTACTAAAAAGTATTTTTAAATCTATAGTTTGTGTATTTGTGTACCAATAATTGATAAGCATTGCTAGTTACCATGTTTGTATTATCATTATTTCATTTCACAGATAACAAATGAAGGTACTGTGCAATACTGAAATGGTGGAACCCATGCATAACATGCAGTTCAGAATCTCAGGACACTGTTTTATCCTTGGGTAAAAGATTTAAGCTGTACTTACTATCTATAAATTGGGAGTAATATAATCTATTTTCAAAGAGTAAGGTTAGAGAGAGAATGAATTAAAGGGCCCTAAGATTACCAAGTAATCATCCAATAAAAGGTAAATATGCATATTAACTCTATTTAAATAATGTATGTCTGTATTCAAATCAGTGATTTACCTCTGTCCCTATAATCCAGGCTCAGATTGGTTTCCATCCTTGATGGGTGATTTAAAATATATCCATCAGATCAACATAACATTTGCTACCCTCTAGAACTGGTGGTCTCCACACTGAGCCCTTCATTATTACTATTTATAGCTGCCTATTCCATTATGAGAACATTAGGGGAAAAATATCAAAGGTATTCATTCACCTATGCCTATATTGTACCTAATAGAGGAATACGCACAAAATTTCCTTAAATATTAAATTTTGCTTGGATCCACAGTTAACACCCTTGGTACGAGCAGTCAGAAAATAAGGAGATGCATTGCACTGGGAAAATCTGCAGTTAGGAACCTATCCAAATTATTGAAGAGGACTTCAGTTTGAGCACTAAGGTGCGTGTAATTCAGGCTACAGTCTTTCTGATTACTAGCTATGCATCCGAGACCTGGACAATGAATAAGGATGACAAGAAAGAAATTGATGACTTTGAGCTGTAGTGTTGGAGAAGAGAACTGAACATCCCATGGGTGGCCAAGAGAATGAACAGTTGGAATGCTCTTTGGAGGCAAGAATGATGAGGCTTCGCCTCGCACACTTTGGACATGTTGCTAGGAGGTCCTATTTCTTGGAGAAGGACATGATGTTGAGAAGAGTGGAGGACTGGGAAGGAGAAGAAGACCCTCAACCAGGTGGACTGATATGGTGACTGCTGCAATGGACTCTTGTGTGTCAGGAAGTGTGAGAATGGCGAAGGTTAGAACAGTGTTCAGATCTTTTGTTGGGTAGCTATGAGTTGTGCTCAACTCAGTGGCACTTAACAACAACAACAACAATGTACAAACCCCTTATTTTAGATTTGCTGAAATTTTCTGAATTTAATGTTCTTCTGAGCTTATAAAATCTACCAAAATATTACTTATAAAATTTACCAAAGTATTTATAATTTTAATAATTCTTAGTAATACAGTTTCTCCTAATTGGTAATTTATGATAACACTTGTTTATGAACAATTAATCAGTCCTTAGGAAGAAATGAAATATTAAGAAAATGTGATTTTGGCTTAATTTTTATTATTCAGAACATAGGACATCCTATTTGCAGAAAATATAAATTCTACAAATCAGTTATAAGAACTTAAAAAAGACAAGAAACACAAAATAATCACTTTAAATGGTATCTTTGTTTTTATACATTTATTTATAAAAACGTATTCCATTTGTATGCAACCCTTGTCTCTCCCATTAGTTAGCCATGTACGAGGTATTTAAGTGATTAACTTCCCTAGACACTAGCTATCTTCAATATGGACACTATATAAGCAATTTCTTTGAAAAAGTAGCCAGCTTAAATGTAGACCCTAGTGTTTAAGTTTTTGAGGGACAAAAGGAACTGGAATGGTTCTCTTCCACTTAAAAATAAAAAACAGACTCATCTGTCTACCTTAATTTGGAAGGAAGTAGAAGAGAAAAAATATGATAAAGACATGAGGTGAAAAGAGGAACTGAAAAAAGAAAAAAAATACTATCAGAATATTTTTTATCTTCTCAGAAGTAGAGAAACTAATGTAAGTATGAACTGTAAGTAGGGAAGAATCATCTAACAGACTACTCAGAAGTGGGGAAGCTAATAAAAAATTGTAAAAAATGACCCTTCTTCAATTTCTTCTAAAACTCAGGCAAAATATTACCACCATTCATCTTTAGTTTGGCAAGGACAGTTGTTCCTTTATGGACTTCTATTTTTTTTTTCCATTTTTTTAAATTTTTTGTGTGTGTACCATCAAATCAGATCCGACAGGTACAGGAGGAGATTGCCCCTCCTTTTCCGGCAGAGCATCTGGTGGATTCGAACCATGGACTTCTATTTTAACCAAAGAGTGTGCAATGCCATGGAGTCCTGTGATTTGCTAACCTAATGGCTGGTGTTTGGGAAGCCATCAGCTGCTTTGCAGGAGGAAGACAGGGAAGCCTGCTTCTGGAAAGAAGGGACAATCTTGGAAATTTTATGGGTGTGGTTTTACTCTGTCCTCCAGGGTTGTTATGAGTTGGAATCTGGCAAGTGATAAATTACGCCTTGTTTCTAATGGGCTGTTACTACTTTTAAACAATTTGTGATAATATTAAGAAAATCCTTGAGTAATAGGTCTTCTTCAATTGTGCTTCTGATCTATAAGAGCAGGATACAAATGAGGTTAACTCTCCTAGGTAACTTGTATCTTTTACTTCTTTCACATACACAATATAAGGAAACTAACTAGGACAATGAGACAATACATATAAACAACTTAAACAGATACTTTTTAGTCCCAACTATTAATTATAGAAGTTTGACAGCTTATTTTGGCAATAAATCTCAGGACAAAACCTCAGACAAGTACACTAAAATAAAGGCAAATTAAAAAATCCAGACATTACTAATCTACAAAGGTTATATTTATGGAAACAAATACCTTGATTTAGGGTACTGATTATACAAAATCAATGTTGACTTATCCCTTATGTTAAACTTTCATTTGATATGAAAGTTGTGGAAAGGTCTCTGAAATTTGAAACTGACCATTATGGAAATAAAAATCTCTCTGGTGACAACTCTCCTCCCAAAATTGTAGCCTGTATTTATATATATATACATATATACATATATACATATATACATACACACACACACACACATATATATATGAAATTGAAAATTTCAATAGTAGTGTTATGAACTGAACCACAGCCCCACGAAATATGAGCTGTGAAGCCTCAACTGCATATATGTAGCTAAAGGCCTGGAGGTATAGCAACTGACATGTCAAGCAGCTAAATCAGAAGGTCAGAAATTAGAATCTACCAGGCAATCTCAGGAGAAAGAGGGGCAGCCTCTTCTAGGAAAGATTTACAGCCTTGGCAACCTTATACAAGTTGCAATGAATTGGAATAAATTTTATGGCAGTGGGCATTTTTAGGGTTTATACATGTGGTAGCTATAGGGGGTAGCTCTGGTGGCTTAGAGGTAAGGAACTGTACTGTTAACGTCACATGGCTTGAATCAACCAATCACTCCAAATGAGAAAGATGGACAGTCTCCTCCCATGCAACTGAATGCCTCTGAAAATCTCCTGTAAGGTCAGTTATGAGTCAGCTCCAACTCGATGGTCCCTAACAACATATATGTAGTTACAATTACTTTTTTGGGAATAGGGTTTCTGTTATGTTTGTTAATAAGGCTGTACCTTTTTTAAGAGAACATACTCAGCAAGTAACAGGAGATGGGAGAAGAGAGATGCCATATCAGGTCAGATCTCCAAGGAAACAAGAAGAGAAGCTCTAACACCACAAACCCAATCCTCTAGAGCTCACAAACAGTAAAAACCCTCCTCTAGGGACTGCAACCTGAATTAAAACTTACAGCCTCCTCACTGTGAGAAAATAAACTTGTTTAAAGGTGCCCAAGGTACTAATTCTCCATAACAGCATAAGGAGATGGTAATAGATTTCTTTAGTTTTCAGCATTTCATTTGCCAACCTACCTTTGTTTTCTTTAGTTGAATGACAGCTTCAAGAAAAGTTATCTCATCAAAGCTTCTCAGAATTGGTTCAAGTTCTATTATACATTCTAAACAAGGAGATAAAAATGCAATTTGAGTTCAAATTGTTTCTAATCATTAAACTGAAAAATGTAGACGTTATAACTGAAATGATAAGGCTCTAAGTCAATTCTTCTCTAAACATTAATTTGCCTTAACAGTTTTTAATACTAGTACAAGGATAGATGGCTAAATCAATGGACTAGTACTGAAAAGTATAAAAAGAAAACACTATAGTCTTGATCAATTGATTTTGGAAAAAAGGTACCAAGGCAATTCAATGAGGGAAAGAGTCTTCACACCAGTTGGTGCTAGAAAAACCGGATAACCTTACAACAATAGGTAAATTTAGACCTTTACTTCACATTGCATATAAAAATAAAACTCAAAGTATGAACTAAATGTATGAATTACAACTGTACCATTTTTAGAAGCACACCTAGAATACCTCTAGGATCTTGAATTAGGCAGTGTTCCTAAAGTCAATATCAAAAGGGTAAATATAAAAGAAAAAAAACCCCCAACTAAATTAGACTTAAAACTTTCATGTTTCAAAAGGTACTACTTAGAAAAAATAGAGACAAGCTACACACTGAGATAAAATATTTGCAAATCTTGTATTTGCTAAAGCACTTACATCTAGAACATAAAAAGAAATCTGACAAATCTAGTAAGACAAGTAACTCATTTAGGAAATGGGCAAAAGATGTTAAAAGACTACAAAAAAATAAAACACCTCCCACAAAACAAAACAAACAAATGGCTAATAAACATATGAAAAGATGTGTAACACCATTATTCATGTGGGAAACATAAATAAAAACTACTTTTCCTCATCAAAATGATAGGTGTTGACAATGATTTAGAGAAATTAAAATTCTCATAAATTACTTGTGGGAATGTAAAACAATGTAACATTCACAGTTGAGAAAAAGTTTGGCAAATTTAAAAGAAATAAATTTATAACCCTAAGAGAAAGAAAAACCTATGCTGACATAAAGAACTGAATGTGAGTACGCATCTTTTTCTAATTCTTCTTCAACTCAATTTCTAACTACTGAAAAGTCTCTCTTTGCTATCTATTTGCCCCTAAAAAGATGTAGTTCAGGGCATGATTTTACATTATCACCTATATGTTAATAACTTTGTTTTGTATGGTTTCAGTACACACAGTAATTATGTAAAGGATTGCTGGATTTATCTGTCTATAGATGAGAAAACCCCAGTGGCAAAAGGGCTAAGAGCTGCTTGACTATCAACAGATAGGCTAGTGGTGAGATTCCATTATCTGTTCTGTGGGAGAAGTGTGACCAATCTGTTCCCAAAAGGATTACGGTCTAGAAAACCCCATTGGGTTTGTCTGTATGTTCCATTCTGCAGCAATGAAAATGACTGACTTGATGGCACCCACCAAAAACATTTATAAAAGAGAAATGGGGAATGTGCTCAAATTTTAACCCAGGTCATAGGACTCTCAATATTTGTGCTGAAACCTGACCATCTACCAGGAATCTCAATTTACAGATTAACTAGTCATCTCACATTTACTATTTACAAAATTAAACTCCTCATTCTACCTTTCCTCAACATTTTCATCTCAGTTTTGTTCATCTCACTACACGGTTATCAACACGCTATTCCGTGGAAGCTATGGACTTGACTTTCCCCTGATTCTGCCTGTATTTGATTATTTCCACATTCTATGTATCTCTGAATACACTTTAATTTTGTCTAGTCCCATCTCTCACTCAGACTCAAACTCAGGAATGGAGAGTAGGTTCTGACTCACACTGCCCTTCCACTGGGTTTCCAAGGCTGTAAACTGTAATGAATGTGGCTACTCATTTCTCTCCAGAGGTGAAGCGGGTGGATCTGAATGCCAGAGATTCAGCCTTTTGGTTAGAAATGCAACACTCTTTGGACTGTGCCACCGAGATTCCTCTTCCTATCTCTTATGACATGTTCTCATAATCAAAAAGCTTCTGCAGGAGGTACTCAGCTGATCTCTCAGCTTTCACCCTTGCCCACCACTAATTGTTCACAAAGTAGCAAAAGTGATATATTTAAAATCTAAATGAGATCACTTTCATGCAAAACACACTTTACTGGTTTCTCACTGTACTTGGAATAGCTAAACTTCCCAAAACAGTCAACAGCCTCTTCCTTATCCTTCTACCCTTCGTATTATTCCCTTCCTTGCTCACCATATTCCAGTGCAAGTCTTCACTTTGTTCTCAGAAACGGCAAACTCTTTCCTTTTTTCATCCCTGGCCTTTGCTCTTATTTTCTCTACCTCAAATGCTCTTCCTCAAGCTTGTAAATGGCTAGCTCCTTTTCAAGCTTCAAAGCTCAGGTCAAATATTTGTTCCAAAGAATGACTTTACTTTCTCTCCTCTAATTACTCTAGTACCTAGCTCATTTCGTCACAACTTCCACAATTTGTATCTTCTTTATTTTTCTGGAATTTTCTCATGCCTGTACATACTGTTTTATACAATCATTCCTTTACGGTTGATCTGTGTCTATCATTACCCCATCTTTTCAAGTCCTCATGGAAACTTCTTTATTTTCCCATCCACCCACTAACCACTGCTATCCTGTGATGTCTTTAATCTATCTGCCTCTACCACTAGAATGTAAGTTCTTGAAAGATAGCAATTTAGATTATCTTATTTTGTTCACTGCTCTGGTCCCAGTTCTTAGCCCTGTGTTTAGCATGTGGTAGGTGCTCAGTAAATATTTGCTGAATGGAATTATACTTCCTATCATGTGATCAATCTTGACTTCTGTTATCACTGCTGGGTGCTGCTAAGTCAACCATCACTCATGGTGATGCTATGACCAACAGATCGAAACACTGCGGTACCCTGCACCATCCTCACAATCTCACCCTTGCAGTTGCTGTACTGATCCACCTTGATGAGGGGCTAACTCTTGTCTTCTAGGAATTATCAATTTAATTCTAGATGCAGTTATTATTTTATAAATATAATGAATAACAAGAGTGAAAATAATGGGGGGAAAAGCAAACAAATATCTTGGGGCTAATGACTGAACTTCATATACTTTTGAAAAGACTGTTTGATTCACAATCTCTCCACTATTTTTATACAGTTAAGTTTTCACACTGGAACTGTATACCCACTTAAGAAAGACGGTCTTTCATCTGGATTCTGTGCCCATCCACTTTGTATAAGAGAGACCATCACTGTTCGGTGAGGTATGTCAAATGGTAAACTTTCTTCAGTAGTGTCAGGGCGATGTCCCTGTGATACACTATACATAATCTGCAAAGGATTAGTGACGTCTGTCAAGACAGAAATATGGCATTCATTAGAAATATATTATGATGCTGTCTATTAAATAATTTCAAATCAATTAAATGAAGATGATGATGAATCTTAAAATCTTAGTAATAATTCAATACCTAAGCTCCTTTCTCTTAGTACATTCCAGGTATTTCTATTAAGACATTGCTACCTCCTAGGTAAGGAGTACACATATTTACTGCAGAGGAGAGCTAAGAAGGATCACAGCAATTACTACATGAAGTGAATGAGAAAGAAATCTTTATTTTTTAAGCCACTAAGATTTTGGGTTTGCTTGTTGAACAGAAAGCTGATTTATGCAAACCTAAATTTAAAAGAAATATTAATTACCAAAGTATGAAAAAAACCCAAGCACTCCACCCCACTTTGTCCAATGCTTTCTGGTGCCAATCAATTTTTATAGAGAGAGTTTTACAGCTGGAATTGATTTTGATAATGTTTATTCTAAGCTCTTTTTTTTTTTTTTTTAAAAAGATGAAATAACAGAAGCTTGAAGAGTTTGAATAGTCAATTACTGTTAGAGCAAGAATTAAATCCAGGCTTTTTTGATTCTTAATCCAGTGTAGTTTATAACATAATCTCATTTGATAATTCACATTTTTATGGTGCATTTTCAAGAAAATAAACATTACAAAGATTTATTAAAAGAAGATTAAATTTATACAGCTCTGAGTGTGGTTGACCTACATGATGTTACCTAGAAAAAAGAATTTAAAGTACACTTACCATCAAATGGCTGTTTTCTGGATAAGACTTCCCATGTGATAATAGCATAACTATTTAAGAGAAAAGCATACATACTATTTAACATAATAAACTAAAAAAATCACTGTTCTTAGAGTTAATTATTGAAAGTGATAATACTGTAGTGAAGTATCCCATAAAGAATTACCAACTAACATACTCATACGTGATTTTGTTTCAAACTGGTAATTCTATAAATTAGGGAATGAAGTTACATGCAACAATAACTGTTGGAGATGATTTCATAATCATTCTTGAATGCTTAAGCTATGCCTTCTAATTACATGCTCACTTATTCTCACAAAATAAGCAATAAAAAAGAGGGTTTATGTAGCCCTGCTTTATTTCCCTTTTTCTGGTCAAAGTACTGTCCTTTTTGGTAAAAATGATTTTGTCTACAATAAAATTTCATTTGTCAGACATCTGGTTAGATAACACAAACTTCAGAGTTGCGATAAAGGACTAACCATATCAGGATTTTGCAGCACTTTCAATGAACTGTTCAGCCAACATGGGACACAAGGAACTGACACACGGGCAGGGATAGAGAATGAGGATTACAGAAGAAATTCTTACCTCATTCAATGAAATGATATCCCTTCATTTTCTCTGACAGAGAATTTTAACCTAATTTAGTTTCATCTGTTTTTTTTTTTAAAAATATTTTTTCTTTGCTTTAGGTAAAAGTTTATATAATTTTCCCCCCGATATTGGCTTCAATCCTTACACTATGTCAGGACACTCCCCATTTCCACTCATCTGCTTCTTTGTCCCTCCATGCCTTCTCCAGTTTTAGGCAAAAGTTGTTCTGTAAGTCATGTATACTTGATTTTTAAAAGAAATACATTCTATACAGACAATTGTTTACCATCTGTTAATGGTTTATTTTATGGGCCATCAATTATTTAACTGAGAGGTGGCCTCTGGGAGTTTCAAGTCAGGCTGATGTGGGACAATCGTCCTGGAGTCCTAGTCTCTTTCAGAGCAGTCTGATGCTTGGCTTAGGTGGTCTGCTGCTTTTATGTTTTTTTTGTTTTTTTTTTTTTTCTCTAATTTGAATTTTATTCTGTATTTCCACTTGGGCCCTTCTGCAGTGGTCTTGGCCAGCATGTGCTGTACCAGCAGCTGGGTTCCACTTAGTTCTAGTGTCAGGTTAAAGGAGCGTTGGCTCCTGTGGAACATTAATCCTGTGGAGTTGCTTTCTTGACTCTTCAGTAATCTTTACTCTCTTAAGCTCTAGGTAGGCAGAGACCAACAGCTGTTTCTTAGATGGCTGCCTGCAAGCTTTTAAAGGTTTTGTCTGTTTTTACAGAATCAAAACAACTTTTAAGAATTTTTGGATTAGAATATGGTCTTTCTTTCAGAAGATAAAATAAATGTTTTTTGTGCTCCTTCCTCTCAGCATAAAATTGATGAACTAAAGATACCAGGAACTAAGTATATGCACATGATAATAACTTAAATATGAAAGACAATACAGTTAAGTGTTTTAGTGCAGTCACTCATATCAATCAGCCTTACTAAGTACAAAAAAATGTCATCACTTTGTTGTTGTTGTTAGCGACCCTATGTACAACAGCCCTAAACTCTGCTCTGTCCTGTGCCAATCGCATTGCCTCTGACACACCCATCCCGATTACCCCAGTCACTGAATCAATCCACCTCATAGAGGGTTTTCCCCTCCTGTGCTGTCCCTCCACCCTCCCAAGCATGATGTCCCTCCTTAAAAATACACACACACACACACACATATATACAAGTTAGGGAGCTCTTGTGGTCTAGTGGTAAGAAGCTGCACTGCAATCTCAAAGGCATGTGGTTCGAATTTACTAGCTGCTCCATGAGAGAAGGATGGGCAATCCCCTCTTGTGCGATTTACTGCCTCTGAAAATCTGCTGGAGGGTCAGCTATGGGTTGATTCCAACTCAATGGTACATAATAACAAAAACGATATATATGTATGTGTGTGTGTGTATATGTGTGTTTGTGTGTGTATCATGAAATATCAAACTGGCACCAACTCACAGCTGACATTCCAATAGGTTTTCAGAGACAGTAAATCACCCATCTTTCTTTCTCGAAGCAAGCAGCTGGTGAATTTGAACTGTGTGCCTAGGGGTTGGTAACCTTAACATACTCAAGCCCAACATTACAATCACTGTGTCAGTCCTCTCACTGAGGGTCTTCTCCTTTCACTGACCCTTGACCTTGCATAGAGATTTGTTTGGCAAAGATACAATGTTCTTTTCTAAAAGCATCTTCATTTTTATCAGATTTCTATGTAAATATCTTTAATAGAAATCTCTTCTATAGATATAAAGGACACAAAATCTGAGTAGGATGAAAACTTAAAAGCTAAAATGTTAGGATCTACTGTTCTCTCTACATCCTGATAATCATACATGATAAAAATAAAAGCAAAACAAAAGCTTTGAGTATTATATTAAAAATTACTAGAACAAAAAGGCTTTTTTTAAAGGAATGTAAAAATGATTTAAAGCAATGTATCTTTAATTTGAAAAATATTAGTAGGGCTTTTTTTTTGGAGCGGCAATTTATTTTGACTACACTTGAAAAAAGAATAAAAACCATACTTTATAGATTAAATTCTGGTTGATTAGCTTGGTGTTTAGACACGTGGAAGTAACCTACTGCACCTGTATATATCATGCTTGACACTGGCCCTCGATTTCTGTCCAGGTTCATAGTTTTCAGGTGGCATATAGATAATTGTCCCTCCTTCAGGTGCAGATTTGCTACTTCGTGACTGTGACAGAGACATCATACGCCATTTTGATAACCCAAAATCGGCAATCTGTAAGGGAAAATAGTTAATTATCCAATTTTAGAATATCCTTTTCATATAAAAAGAACATAGAAAAATAAGGAATATTCTCAAATTTATTCTACGGAGCAAGCATAACCCTAATACCAAATCCAGAGAAACAAACCACCTAAAAAAATTATACACTGATATCTTTCCTGAACATAAATATAAAAATTCTCAATAAAATCCTAGTCAATAGAATCGAATATATTAAAAAAATCATTCATCATGTTCAGTTGGGATTTATACTAGATATGTAAGACTGTTTAACTTAATAAAAGCAATCAGTTTAATTCACAATGTAAATAAAACAAAGTAAAAGAATCACAAGACCTTATCAATTGATAAAGAAAAGACATCTGATAAAATTCAACATCCTTTCCTGATAAAATCTCTCAGAAAAATTGGAATAGAGAAATTCTAACTATGTTGCATAATTAGCAGAATATACAGAAAATCAATGGCTATTATTATTCTTCACACAGAGAGACAATGTGTCTAACAAGGACTAAAGAAGGATGCCCTTTATTACCACTCTAATGAATTCACTATTGTATTGGAAGTCTGCTTTGGGGGAAACCTCAGTAACTATGGAAGCTGTAAAAAAGTCAGTAAAAGTAGTTAACTTGGCACACTATGTAAAGGGAAAAAGATGGATTGGTAAAGAAAGGGAAATGGGAACTGCCAGCAGAACAGTTCCTCCTAAGACCTAAAGGACTTTATGAGGAGGAATGTAGATTCAGGACTGGAGGAAGACTCTCACCAACAATCTGTGTTACACAGATGACACAAACCTGCTTGCTGAAACTGAGAACCTCAAGTGCTTGCTGCAGAAGGTTAAGGACTACAGTCTGCAACATGGATTGAGGTGCAACATTGAGAACACAAAGATTCTGACTTGGTGGTCCAATTGGCTACACCATGTCAGGTAGAGAAGAGATCTAGATTGTTAACAATTTCAGCTTGCACTTTTGGGATCAGCAGTCAGATCAAAAGATGCATTGCATTAGGAAAATTTGCTGTCAGGGATTTCTCCAAAATGCTAAAGAGCAACAATATCAGTCAGGAGACAAAGGTGCATCTGATCCAGGCCATGGTCTTTGCAATTACTTGCTATGCATCAGAGAGCTGGGCAATGATCAGAGATGACAGAGAAGAGTACTGAACCATGGACTGCCAAGACAATAGGTCTGTGAGTTTCACCTTGGAGGCAAGAATTCTGAAGCTCTGTCTCACATACTTTGAGTATGTTGCCAGGAGGGACCAGTCCTTGAAGAAGGACTTTATACTTGGAAGGAAGAAGGGACAGTGCAGGAAAGGAAGATCCTGGATGAAATGGACTGACATAGGCTCAGAATAGAGCAGAATTCAGAGCTATTGTATGTAGGGTTGCTGAGTCCTTGCCGACTTAAAGGCATGTAACAACAGCAGGAGAGAGACAGATGATCTAAAATGGCTATATGTATGACAATATAAACAACAATATTGAAGTTTAATTTCCCATCAGTACAGTGAAAGGGGGTGTTCATACATTATGCTTATAGAGTTAATTTTTAAGAGAAATTTTTGAAATGGGTAATGAAGCACTGGATATTCATACATGCAGGATGCAGATAAGACGGAAAATAAAATGTGTTACCTTATGGAGCTCTGGTGGCCTAGTTGCAAGAAGCTGTACTGCAATTCGAGAGGTATGTGGTTTGAATCCACCAGATGCTAAGCTGGAGAAGGAGGGTAATCTCCTCCTGTACCAGTTAGATATGATTTAATAGTACACACACACACACACCAAAAAAATAGTAAATTTGTTTTTTAAAAGGTGTCACCTTAGGGAGAGTTTCGTAGTTAATGAGGGAGAGGTGAGGAAGACCAAGTAAGCAACACTATTCAACTTTTAGTCTCGGTCTAGATCTGAGAGAACAATGAAGTAGGCCCTATTTTGCTGTGAGGCTGCCTTTATTTCAGACGCCAGTACTGTATGTGAATAAAGGAACTTTTCTAGGGGACGGACGGATGAAACCCCGATGAGGTACCATGGAGGATGTTTCACATTCAAAGTGTACAAATCGACTTTTTGAACTGGCGATCTGTTTTCTACCAAGAAAAGAAACTCAGTACCAAAGGAAGCAGTTAAATTTCTGCCATGCTTAAGGCCATGATTTGACTCTAAAGCACGTCTTAGCCAGAGCAACAAACAAGAAAAGGAAATGAAAGGCATCCAAATTGGCACAGAGGAAGTAAAACTATTGCTGTCTGCATAGAATGTGATTTTGTATATTGTGGTTAGGTGCTGTCAAGTCTCCTGTGACTCACAGCAAACAGGTGGAAAGCTTGTCTTGTCTGCATCATCCTAGGAATCTCTGTTCTGCTCAAATCCGTTACTGCAGTAACTATATTAATCTATTATCACTGAGAGCTGTTGTATTACCTTTGCTGACCTCCACTTTTCCAAGCATGATGACTGTTTTCCAGGACTGGACCCTCCTGAAAACATACCCGAAGTTTGTGAGATGAAGTTTCACCATCTTTGCCTCCAAGATGCAACCTGGCTGCATTTCCCCTAAGGTAGATATGTTTTCTTTTGGTAGAGTCTGGAATATTCTATACTCTAAGCCAACACCATAATTCAAAGGCAGCAATTCTTCTTCCTTATTCACTTTCCAAACATTTGAATGTATTTAAGCAACTGCAAATATCATGGCTTGGGTAAGGAACGCCTTAGTCTTAGAAAATGCCAAACACTCAGCAAGAATTTTACTGGATAGAATTATCTGATTAAGCAAAATGGCAGAATTGAAGATCAATTTACAAAAATAAGTCTGAGTCCTCTACAGAAATAAAAAGAATGCTGAAAAGGAAAATAACATTATCTATAATCGTTACTGTATACTGATAAGTTGGAACTGACTGATAGCTGGCCCTCCAGTGGGTTTTAATCACACTGGTGGAGACAGGAGCAGTGCCCATCTTTCTCCAGTGGAGCAAATGGTGGATTTTAAATGTGTACACGAAACTTATACCTGGACCATGAGGCAGTCGTCAGAACAGAGCAAGGAAACACTGCATTGTTCAAAATTAAGGGTGTGCATCAAGGATGTGTCCTATCTCCATATCTTTTCAATCTATATGCAGAACAGATTATCTGGGAGGCTGGGCTCTATGAGGAGAAGTATGGCATCAAGATTGGAGGTAGACTCAATAACAATCTGTGTTATGCAGATGACACAACCCTGCTTGCTGAAACTGAGGAGGACCTGAAGCGCTTGCTGCAGAGGGTCAAGGACTGCAGCCTTCAATACGGATTGAAGTTCAACATCAAGAAAACAAAGATTCTCGCCACTGGGCCAACTGGCAGCATCATGATAGATGGTAAAGAGGCTGAGATTGTTGACCACTTCAGTTTGCTTGGCTCTATAATCATAACTTTTGGTACCAGCAGCCAGGAAATTAAAAGATAAATTGCATTGCTAAAGTCTACTGTCAGAGACCTCTCCAAAGTACTGAGGAGATTGATGCTCCAGACTGAATCATGTCTTCATTTATGTAGGAAGTTTTGAGATAATAAATATAAGGCCTCTGTTTTGGTTTTCTTCTTCAGTAATGGTCTGCTTCTGTGAAATTTCATTCCATTCTATATAAAGCTATTTATTATTTTATCCATTTCTCTGAAGTATGATGATAAGGTCTGGATTGAGATTGTATTGTGTATCAGAATTGCTTTAGATACTATTGCTATTTCTACAAAATTAAGTCATCCTATTTAGTATATTCTTCATTTATACAAGTCTTTCTGGTTTTTTCTTTTTTTTTGGTAACAGTGTGTTGTAGTTTCCTTTGTACAGATTGGGTGTTGTGTTTTTTTTCTTTCTTTTTAAATGAATATTTTTTTCTTCTTTTTAAAAAAAATTTTGAGAAAAACATATTGGGAGTACAAGGAGGTGAAGGTTGGGGGCAGAAGGGTGAGCATGGCCAGGCATGCCATTGCAGAGCTGCACAATTTGGTTGGTGGGGGGAGCAGGTGAAGGAAATGAAAAGGATCCAGTAGGGATCAGATGCTACAGGGGAATGGTAAGCATTTTCCAATGGTAACTAAACCGTCTTATTGATTTGGGAACTGGATGCAGACTCTCTGGCTTCTTCATGCTGAACAGGGACGTTGATGTGAAGGGGGAAAGGAAGGACACTTTATCACCTTACTGCTGGTCTTATATTAAAGCTGCTTGCCTTCTTCTTCTGTTAGAAGATATTTTCCTGTCATTTGCTCCCCTCTGGACTGCAAAGTGTTTTCCCAGGTGGGTCCCAGGTGGGGATGGCTGGTTGAACCCAGAGGCTCCATCCTTCTTTGCTTCCTTAGCTGGTAGTTGTATTTCCTTTTTGTCACTGGCACTGGGTTCAGGGTCAGGTCTGGAGTAAAACTCAGTGTTAACGTTACCTATAGGAAAGGGAGCAAACCTAGAGAGAACAAACTTGTGAGTTAAAAATAGAAGGGCTTTGGGGGTGTTACTTTCAGGTTTACTGGGGGAGAGGGTGGTGGAAAGTAGCCTAGATAAAATTCTCTGGATACCATAGGCATTTTTTTCCCCACCTAGGAGTCAGATGGCATAATCTGGGGACTGAGGAGCTCACCCTGAGGGCTATGACGGCTCGCCCCAGGCCAGGGGCTGAAGACAGCCCACCCCAGGCAGAGGGCCATGAAGGCTCGCCCCTCCCGAGCAGGGCAACACCCCCCAGGGGCTGGCTGGTACACTCCCCCTCTAATTGCCCCCACCCCAATCTGGTCCCCTTGCCTGACTGAGGACTATGTGGCCAGGGACAGCATCTCCAATTCCAGCACCACCACTTTTACCCCCCACCCCCCAACAAGTGGTCATACTATAATTTGAAGTAGGTATCACAGCCCTCTCCCTTTATAGATGGCAAAGGGAACCTGAGAGTTGTGACCAGGCTCCCCTCAGGTCTAAGCAGCTTTTGGCAGAAGCATTTAACAGATCAAAATATGTGGTGCATTTAGGATGTCGGTCTTCCTGGACATGCTGCCACTGTTAAGGGTCATCAGGTAGACAACTCACAGTGATTTTCAACAATCCACTGTATCGGTGATCATATTCTCTGGCCTGTCCAAGGAAATCCAAACATGCAGGCAGCGGGCGGCAGAGCATGCATCCCATCTCCGGTGGCGGGTGGGCGGCTGGGCATGCGTCATCTCCTGATTCCCCCGCCGCTGCCATCTTGACTCCAAGAATTTTCCCCAGAACAAGTCCACTTTGCCGCAGTGTGGCGGCTCCGCTGTACCAGTCTCAGGGAGGCCCGGTGCCTACCATCCATCTTGGGTGAGGGAATCCATAGGTTCCGGCTGTGGGAGCCTCATGGAGCTGTGGTGGCGGTGCGGTGCGGGCTCTGCGGGAGGGGGTTGGGAGCTGCGGGACTCACCCATTCCTCCTTGGGAATCCTTGAATTCCTGTTGTTGAGCCTCAATCTTCACTGAAGACCAGTCATCAACTGTTTAACTGTTCAATTATCAATAAACACAGGTCTGTAGAAGGCCACAGAGGCCCTGTTCCAAGTGGTCCACTGCTCCCGCAGCTCACCATGTTGTCTCCACCTCTGCCGCCATCTTGGATCGTCCAGGTTGTGTTTTTTTTCCTCTAGTTAGATTGATTTCTAAATATTTCATTTTTTGAGTGGCTATTATAAATGGCAAAAGAACCCTGGTAGTAAGAAGTTGGACTGCCACCCCAAAGGTGGTGGTTGTTATGTGCTGTCGAGTCGCTTGTGACTCATAGCGACTCTATGTACAACAGCCCTAAACTCTGCTCTATCTCTTGCCAACTTTATTGTCTCTGACAACACCTATCCTCATTACCCCAGTGACGGAATCAATCTATCTCATCAAGGGTCTTCCTCTCCTGTGCTGTCCCTCCACACTCCCAAGCATGACGCCCCTCTCCAAGGACTGATTCTGTCTTGCAACATGTCCAAAGTATGTCATATGGAGCTTCAGAATGCCTGCCTCCAAGGAGTAGCCTGGCTTCATCCTCTCTAGGACAAACTTGTTTGTTCTCCTAGCAGTCCATGATATATTCAATACTCTTCTCCAGCACCAAAGCTCAAATGCATCAACTCTCCTTTTATCATCCCTAGTCATTGTCCAGCTCTCTGATACATACCAAGTAATGGCAAAGACAATGGCCTGTATCTGGCACACCTTAGTTTCCAGACTAACAGAACTAATGAGCCAGAAGTAAATTCATTCACCTATGAACAGGTGATCTTTAACAAAGAGGTGAATTTCATTAATGGGGGAAAAGACTCTTTAACAAAATGACATGGCAAAATAGAATATTTATTTGAAGAAAACTGAAAAATATTCATACCTCACCAAATACAAAGAAACAAAGTGATAAAGATAATCAAAGAAAAGACTTAAAACTATAAAGATCATGTTCATAGCAGCCTTACTAACGGTCACAAAAACATGGAATCAGCCCAGATTTCCAACCACAAACAAATGGATTGAGAAAGGATACATTTGAATACTACGCAGCTTGCAGGAGCAATGATTCTGTAAATTGTTACCTAACTTGGGAGGGACTGGAGAGCAGTATGCTGAGTGAACTAACTTAGTCCCACAAGGATAAATATTGTATAAAACCATTACTGTAGAATGAGTGTAAGGATCCAAGGGAGGGGGGGAGTGAAGAGGGTGGAAGCAGAGGGATGAAGATGTGCAGTGGGATGGGGGGAATTAATCATAGGGTTGTCCAATTTGATGGGTGGCGGGGTGAGGGGAATTAGAAGAACCTGTTCTGGAAAACAATGTATACAAATTTGTAAATAAACTAGTATAATAATAAAAAAATTAATCAAAACAGCCCCTACTAGAAAGATCATAAAAGAACAAAATAGGAGTAAATTTAGGAGTCCTACTCTCTAACATAAATGAAACTATCAAATATAAAGTGTTCCATCAGAGAATAAACTAGACTATTAGGATCTTTTAAGAATTAGGCGAGCTCTGGTGGCCTAGTGGCAAGAAGGTGTACTGCAATCCCAGAGGTGCACAGTTCAAATCCACCAGATGCTCTGCTGGAGAAGGAAGAACAATCTCCTCCTGTACCACCAGTCAGATTTGATTTGACGGCGCGCGCGCACACACACACACACACACACTAATAATAATAAAAAAGAATTAGATTTCTACACGCACGATATGCAATTTCCTCCCATACAATTACCTCTGAAAAGCTGCTGGAAAGTCAGCTATAGGTCAATTCTGACTCTATGAAACACAACAACAACATGCATGATGTAGGGATTACAGGATTAAGATTTCTCCAAAAGTGTGAAAAAGAGAAACTACAGAGTGGGGAAAAATATTTGGCAACAATACATCTGACAAGGAACTTCTCTCTAAAAGTTACAGATACTAATACCTTGGTAAGAAAAAGATAAACAGCCCAATTACAAAATGGGCAGAGGACATAGAAAGACACTTCATCAAAGAAGCCATTCAGATGGTTATGAAACACACAAGAAACTCCAGAGATTCCTAGCAAATCCAAAGATGCAAATCAAAACAACAATGAGACACCATCTTACACCAGTAGCAATAACAAAGTTCACTTGGACAGTAGACAAAAGCTGCTGGGGGTGTGGAGATAGTGGAGCTCTTTTACAGTGCTGGAGAGAATGCGAAATGGTACAAACACTTGGAAGAGCAGTCTTGTGCTTTCTTAAAAGACTGAAAATGGAAATGCCATTTAATCCAGCAGTCATATATGTTGTTGTTATGGCTATTGAGTCCACTGAGACTCACAGTGCACAATATCTATGAACCTGCCCTATTCAGAGCCAATCGCACTGTCTCCAACACACCTAGCCTTATTACTCCAGTTGCCGTGTGAATCTATCTCATCAGGATCTTCCTCTCCTATGCACTCCCTCCACCCTACTAAGCATGATGTCCTTATCCAAGGACTAGTCCCTCCTGGCAACATACCCAAAGTATGTAAAATGGAGCCTCAAAATCCTTGCTTCCAAGCAGAAACTTAAAGCCACACTCTCCAAGATGGACTTGTTTGTTCTCTTGGCAGTCCATGTTATATTCAAGACTCTTCTCCAGCACCACAACTCAATGACATTGATTCTTCTGTCATCCTTAGTCACTATCTAGCTCTCTGAAGCATCACAAGTAAAAGATTACAGCCTGGATTAGATGCACCTTAGTCTCAAGCCTGACCTCGTTGCTCTTCAGCACCCTGGAGAGGTCCTTGTCCGCATATTTTCCTTATGCAATTTGTCTTTTATTTCCTGACTGCTGGTGCCAAGAGTGTTGGCTGTGGAACCAAGCAAGCTGAAACTGTTAATATCTTTTCCATTTATCATGATGCTGGCAATTGGCTCAATAGTGAGAATCAGTTAGAGCGTTTAGTAACAGTATCACCAGGATATTAACAACTAATCTACTGAAGTGGATACGGATGACAGGAATTAGGAAAAATGGAAAAGGGAGAGAGAATGAAATTGGCTTAGTAGAAGTGATAACTAAAAAGTCTTTTAAAATGATTAAACCCAAGGACACAGATAAAACTTATTCTTTTAAAAAAGGAATTACCTTAACATGAAATTCATTATCTAATAAGATGTTCTGCGTTTTCAAGTCATGATGAAGTAAAGGAGGATTCATATTGTGCAGGTAATTTACTCCCAGTGCAATTTCATGCAGGATGCGAAATCTCAACGACCAAGCAACGTCAGGATATTCTGTTTTCTTCACGTAAATGAAGAGAAAAAGGATAAAAATTAGCAGCACAATTTCATTACATTTCACACTTAGAAACTGAAACACTTTAGTATTTAACACTATTCAAATATAAACTTATTTTTCAACATACTACAAAACTGACATTATTTGACATCTACAGATATTATACCCTAAAATTTTAGTGAAAATAATCAGAACTTTATAGTATTCATATTTCTTTTAGTCTATGGTATTGAGTCTTACTAATCAATTCTTTTATGTCTGTATAACAGATAGACGTCCGCACAACATTAATACTTTCACTTTCTTTGTTCTATAGCTTAGAGCTTGTTAAACAAACAAACAAACAAACAAACAAACAAATAAACATACATATATCTCTAGTCTATACCAAACCATTTATTAAAAACTCATATTGTGATTCTTCTGTTAGCATGACTGGAATTTAACAGTATTAATCAGATTAATTAAAATTTATGACCTCTGTAAATGTCTTTACATTTAGCACTAATTGACATTTAGCACTAATATCTCATATATTCAATCTTGTAATTATCTATATTCTATCTATAAAAATTAGTCTTTGCTAATTTTGTTTTTATAAAAGAGACAAGATGACATTTTTCTTTTTTAAACCTACATAATACCAACTCACTGCAGTCAAGCTATTTCTGACTGACAGTGACTGTTTCTACTGGGTTTCTGAGGCTTTATGTATTGACGTGAAGAGAAGACTGCTACCTTTTTCCTGCAGAGTGGTTGGTCAATTAAAACTACCGACCTCTCAGCGGCCCAAAAAATAGTCCTTAAATACTTTTAATATGTAAACATTTGAAACCTAGCATTTCCTGATTGTGCTTTAAAATAGTTGAACGTAAAAAAAAGTTATGTAAACCCATGTTCATTGCAGATTTGTTCGCAATAGCAAAGAGCTGGAAACAACCCAGGTGACCATCAGCAAACAAATGGCTAAAGAAACTCTGGAAAAATTCACACAATGGGCTATGCGGCATTGAAAAACAAGGAACTCACGAAGTATTATGGAAAATGGAATGACCCTGGAGGACATTATGCTGAGTGAAATATCTCAGTCACAAAAGGACAAATATTGCATAGGGCCACTGTTGAGGGAAGACAGAAAAGGAGGGGAGGAATGATGTATATTGCATTGAAACAGATGAGGGAGAGAACTGTTTAAAAGGGACATATGAATGGGTATTCTTG